GCTGGCGTCCATGTTGGAGGGGACCTTGGGGCCCGAGAAGGTCAGCATGCCATCGTTGGACAGGGAGCAGGTGATGGCAGCCTGGTCCACGTTGGCGGGCAGGCGGTACCGGCGGTGGAACTCGCGGGAGATGTAGCCATGGTCGTCCTGAGAGGCAGTGGGGAAAGGGGGGGAAGGCGTGTCAGAAACCCGCCGGCACCGCGCCGTGCCTCCCTTTGTCCGGCTCCCTCGGAGCAGGAGATCCACAATCTCCCTGGCGGATCCTGACGCTGCTCTGCCAGGACTGCCGGGCACACCTCTGCTGGGTTTAGTTTTACAGGTTTGTAGGGGTAGGTGTCCGCCCGACACCTCTGATGCTGCAAGAGCTGAGCAGAGCAGCAGGGAGTGATTTTGGCCATAGGTTTGATCCCAGGATGGGATCTGATTTGGACCTCTGATTTCAAAGGATGATTTGAGACAAAGTCTGGAGGCCTGGGAAGGTAAAAGCAAGGCAGACGTGTGCACCCATATATTTATTTACTAGGCTGCAATGCTGTGTCAGCCAAAGTACACAATCCTGGCCCCCTTCTTTTTCCGGCCAAAAGGATGAGAAATGCAATTATTTTTCTAAAGTTGGCCATGAGAATAATAACTATATTAAAAAATACATACTGTTTCCAGGCTAGAGCTTTGTCTGGCCAAAAATGTGTATGAGAAGAATTAAAACCCTGCTGGTATAATTCACTTTTCGACCCCCACAGATATTTCCATGACATCCGTGTTAAAAGTTTCCAAGCCTGAGGCACTTGGTTGGTTTTCCTTTGTTTTGTTTGCTCTTGCTTTTCTCTCCCAGTTTGGCATATGAAAACTCTGTTTTCACTAAGGATTCTGGCTTATGAAAACTCAGCCATGCTTCAGCAGCGCCAGATGATGTTCCGTGTCTGGCCCAGTGTTATTAGTGAACAATGGACATCGTCATCTGACGGTTATGGAAGATGATGATTGAAAATAAACAAAAGAGGGGTGGATTAGCTTGTTATTGTCAGATATCAGGTGGGGGCTCTATGGGAACAGGCCATGCCAATAATGACAATTCATAATTAACTCCTTCTTCTGATAAATTCTCTTTTTTTTCCTTCAGCTGAGAACCATTGGGAAGAAGGAGAACGGAGCCGGACTCCCCAGTTGCTCCATCATCACCGTCACTTCCACTTACCTGCCTTTCACTGTGCTTGCCATGGATTTCCACAAAGTCATCAATAATCTTCACACTCAAGTCTTCGGGAGAGAAGTGTTTTACATCCAGCATGATTGTGAACTTGTCCCGATCAGACCTCACCTGAAATGAGCATTGTCACACAGTGAGGCCCGAGCTCCGGGTGTGGAGGCAGCGCCATCACCACAGATTTAGAGGCCAAAAAAGGGGTGGTCTGGCACTTTGTCCTTCTGTGGCTATGGGCCTCATCAGGGGCCTTCTTGCCATTTTGGGGACCCAGGGACACTGAGAGGCCGTGGGAGGTGTCAGGGTCACCGGGAGGCTGTGGGAGGTGTCTGCACCTTGGCTACTGCTTTGGGGACAGTTGTTTCTCCTTGCTGCTACTCTTGTGCCAGGGACCTTTTAGCAGGCACAGAGAGGGGATGGAAACCAGTGTAAGACTCGCTGGTAGCACGTGTTTTATGCTTTCAGTGGTTTATAGTTTTGTTGTGGTTGTAGCTTTGGGAGGAAAACGATAAGAGAGGGCTACAGAAAGCACCTGAATTTCAGATCACGGCCCCCACA